AACGGTGGTGGCCTCAAGGGGACGTCTGCTTCCCATCCCTGTCCCGACGGGGACACGAGTCCATCACCCGCGCCGGAAGGAGCTGCCATGTGGGCTCTCGCAATCTCCTTCCTCTGGCGACGGTGCTTCCCCCCAGCGCGACAGCAAGGGCAGGGTGAGGGCAGGAGGGGTGTCCATCCGTCCATCCATCCATCCACCCATCTCCAAACTTCTCCATCCATACACCTGTTGGTCCCCAAACATCTCCATCCATCCCTCCATCTACCCCTCTACCTCCAGACATCTCCAAACATCTCCATCCATCCATTCATCCCCAAAATCTCCATCCATCTACCCCAAAATATCTCCACCCATCCATCCATTCTCAAACATCTCCATCCACTCGTCCTTCCATCCTCAAACATCTCCATCCATCCATTCCCAACATTTCCACCATTTCCATCCATCCATCCATCCATCCATCCATCCATCCATCCATCCATTCGTCCTCAAACATCTCCATCCATCCATCCTCAATCATTTCGATCTATGCATCCCCAATATCTCCATCTATACATCTGTCCACCCACCCTAAAACATCTCCACATCTCCCTCATCCTTCCATCCATCCCTTCCTCCACCTCCCCACAGACCCCAGTCAGCAGCTCCCACCATGGTGCACCCCAGGGACCTATCCAGCAGCTCCCACCATGGTGCACCCCAGGGACCTATCCAGCCCCCTGGTCCACCAAGGGTCACCAGTGGGTGAGGACAAGACATGGGGCAGGCCGTCAACAGACGCTGCTTTGGAGGAACCACCCCCCAGTGACTCACGGCCAGCAGCCAACACCTTGCTCCATCGTCCCACAGGCATTTCTCAACCGTTTGCCTCATCACCCCAAGACCCCCGACGACGCACAGCCATTGGCCAACGTCCCACCCTTCAGTCAGCGTTGTGTAAACATCAGCTGCACCGCAGCTGACCCACCTGTGGTGGAGAAGGGGGCTTTTGGGGGTCTTCCTCCGTTGACTGATGGCTGTTGGCCAACCTCCTGCTCCACTCTCTGACTGGCATCGTCTGGGCCCTTCATGGTTGACCCACACATGGTGGAGAGGAGGCTTCTTGAAGAAGACACGGAGGTCCTGGGGACTGCGGGCAAGATGAACCCCTCAGAGTGACATGGGGTGTCACGGGGTGGGTGTGGGGACAGGGTTTGGGTGAGGCCAAGCACTGGGGGGGCCAGGACACGGCCACATCCTCAAGGCCTTGAGGGTTCACACCAGGATGGTGGCCATGAGCCATTTGGCATCAGAAGGACATGACCACATTACCAGGTGACACCAGGACAGTGACCACCAGCC